CATAGAATACGATGAAAGAAAGGTATCCTTATTTTTAGGTCGCAGCAATTTCAACTTTTTTGTAAAAGGGACTGAATTTCTGCCAATATTGCATCTAATTTGCCAAATTCTTGATAGCTTTCTCCTTTATGTGTGTCTACAATTCTAAATTAATTTGGTTTTATATATACTTATATTCTTCCATTATTTGCCACAAAAGTAACAAGTTAAATTTATTGATTTGTTATCGGAACATGAATACTGATCATTTATTCCTAACCAAAAAAAAGGTTTTACATGTATATATGTACTCTTTATAAAATGTTTAGTGAAGCTTTTTTTATTCATATCAGTTTATGTGTTCTATTTTCAAGAAAAATTTGTGCATACAAAACTACATATCTCTAAACCAGTTGATAGAAATTTTATAATATACGTACAAAACTACATATCTCTAAACCATATTGTACACATTGTACATATTACCAGTTTTCTTAATGTATGTACACAAGCAAATATGGGTTTAAGCAGCGATTTTGTTTCCAAAAGTGCTATCATCTAAGTGGATCTCAAAAAGTGTAAACAATGCAGATAGAAGTCGAAGACGTGCTATATACCAAATTTCTCTATATAACTTCAATGTAAGAAGTCAATAATTAATTAGAGAATAAGATTTCTTGATCGTAATTCGTAAAGCAACGTTTTTATATCAAATCTAATGCTTAACTAGTAATAATAGTTACACAGACTGTGGGTTTTCATAAATGGAAGCGAAGGAAAATGTCCTTCACAACAATCAATTCATCGATTCATTAACTATCTTCAAGAACTTAGACCGTGAAGTTCGTAACATCATCTCATCTAGAAGGTATATGAAGCGATGGCGTGATTTAATGATTCTCTCTGGATATGTAATGACGCCAGTAACTCATCCAAATGAGTCCGGAATCTTGTGGTCAAGTGGTAAGGAGGCGGGTTTGTGACGCCAACACATTATAAGTTCGATACACCTGCTACGCGAAACTAAAACACATTACTTTGGATACCCACATGGTTATGGGGCATTGTTTTCGGCCCATTTGCATACCCGGAGGGATGGTCTATCCATGGGCTGCACCTCCCCCAGGGATTAGTCTGGACTCTTTGGCCTAAGATTTACCCTGAATAAAAAAAAAAAAAACTCATCCAAATGTAACTTTGTTTTCCCTTTTTTTGTCAAAGCAACTTTTATTGTAGGTAAAACTCTCTATAACACTTAAACTTTTCATGATCAATGATATTCAAACTTTTCATGATCAATGATATTCATTATTTAAACCCTCCAAATTAAAAAACTAATAATAAAATCAATATCGCGTACGAGGATGTACATTGTATTTTATATGTTTTGATACTATGACTCCAACCTATACAAAATTCAGAAGCTAATTCTAGTTTTTCTTTATCATCTATACATAACTTATATGCACATTTCCCGAATTTGAATTTAAGTTGTTATACCGCATTACTTCTAGCTAATACAACTACTATTTAGAATAATTTGAGTTATAACTCGTCCACCAATAATATGTCGACGTTCGTATGGGAAAGGACCACACTCTCAAAGACTTTAGACATAGAGTTTTTTAGTGGAGGAGTTAAACAAATTTATCACTTGTTCAACTCTTAATGCATGATTATAAATAGTAAATATGATTGGGATAATATATGAATTTTATAATATTAATTGTATTGGGATTGATAAATAGAAAGAGGAGAGAGATGTTATATATCCACTAAATATGGGTAATATAGATTTTATATTTAGAAACCCAAAAATTGTTTGGATAAATATAAAAATTTTATAATATTAAAAATCTCTTATATTTACCATTATTTACTACCCATAATCATGCCCTTATCCATTCTAAGAAAAATGTCACTTACATTGAGAGAATATGGTACATTGAGAGAATATGGTTGTAGTTGTGCATTGCCTTGTGGAACACTCTTTGCTAAAACATGTAAAAGGGGAAGGTACCGGGTCAAACCTGGTACACGGCGTTATTACTAATACAACTAAACCACTAAAGTTACAAGTTTTAGGCAGCTAGTTTTAGATACTTTGCACAACAATATAATATATAGACTCTTAAGGTGCATACACTCTGGTTAAGAAAAAAGTGCATAT